GAACCGACACTCGTCAACTGCTGAACGTAAAATAGAGGGCAGTGATGTACTTGGATTTAATCGTCGGTCCGGCCAAAGATCCGTTATAAGGTTGCTGCGTGTGCTGCGCTAGGTCATCGAGCCAACCGATTTTATTATCGCTCAGGATCATTCTTTCGCGTTCTATGTTGCCGATCGCATACCTGGATTGGTTGGTTGGTTGGTTGGTTGATTGGTTGGTTGGCTGGTTAGTTGGTTGATTGGTTGGTTGGCTGGTTGATTGGTTGGTTGATTGGTTGGTTGATTGGTTGGTTGATTGGTTGGTTGATTAGTTGGTTGAGTGATTAAACTATTAATAGATAGACTAATTCATTGATTTACTGACTGATAGATATATAGGTCAATAGACAGATTGATTGATTGATGGATAGATAGATAGATAGTAGATCGATAGATAGACAGATTGATTGATTAATTAATTAATTGACTTATAAATTAATTAACTGAATAATATTCTAATTGAATGTAAAAGTGAATAAAAACAAATAAGCTCTTTTGGTTAGAATGTAAAAAAATTAAGAAAAAACATTTAAACGGTGCTACCAAAAACAGTGAAAATTGTTATCAAAATTAAATCTGTGACAGCTTATTTTAAATTTAGAATCTAAGTTAACTTTTACCAAAGTTTAATTTATCTAAAACAATTTTTTAAAAATGGCGAAAGAATTTTTTTTCATTAATAAATATCTTTTTAATAAAATTGAAACACACGTTTGAAGTTATCTGTGATGGAAAAATAAGGTATGACGTTGCTGTTGATGACGACGTTGGCGATCAATCATTCATTCATTTATTCATTCATCAATCAATTATCAATCAGCAATCAATCAATCAATCAATCAATCAATCAATCAATCAATCAATCAATCAATCAATCAATCAATCAATCAATCAATCAATCAATCAATCAATCAATCAATCAATCAATCAATCAATCAATCAATCAATCAATCAATCAATCAATCAATCAATCAATCAATCAATCAATCAATCAATCAATCAATCAATCAATCAATCAATCAATCAATCAATCAATCAATCAATCAACCAATCAATCAATCAATCAACCAATCAATCAACCAATCAATCAACCAATCAACCAACTAATCAATCAATTAATAAATAACCTGACCAAACGAACGACCAACCATCTAACTAATCAACAAATCTAAGAACGAATAATATACCAGTCAACTATTCAGACGGAAAATCACAAAAGTTACATCATCAGCCAGCCAGCCAGCCAATCAACAACAAAAGTTTACAAAACCAGTTAACCAATTAGAAAACGAACCATATGCAGGCCAGCCAATGAGCGATAAGAGCAAATGTTGCCATAAGCAACAGCAAAACTGCGGCTCCGTACTCTGAATATCGATCCAACTTTCGTGCCACACGGACCAATCTCAACAAGCGAGCTGTTTTTAATAGACCAATCAGGGTTACCATCTGTTTTTAGGGTTTTTGGTTGATGATGATGATGATGGTGACACTCTGGTGATTTGTGAAGATGATGATGATGGTATAAACGATAATGATGATGATGATGATGATGAATGTGATGATGACGATAATAGTGGTCCGTTTACGATTACAATTTTATGATTATTATTGTAAAAAATAACAACCACCATTACAACCATCATCATCATCTCATCATCATCACTACCATCACCACCATCACTGACGTCATCGCCATCATCATCATCACTTACGTCGTCAGAATCAGGGCCGAAAATGAGAAGATCGAAGGGGATGGCGGCCACCATGTCAATGAGGAACCAGCCCTTGAAATAGTTGATGGCTATCTTGCCGGGATGGCTAACGACCTTGGTAAGGTCAAGTTAATGAAAGGAAAAATTTAGTAAATTAAAAAATTGTTTCAGGTTAATTCAGATGGCAAATGTGTCAGGTCTTGATTTGTAGGCAGTTCTGCACATGCCAGAGTACATAATCCAGGATACAAAAAAAACTTAACGTGAATTTTGATTAAATTGTTTTAATTTTGAAGCGCTATACAAATTAAATTTCCACTAGTCATTCACTCACTCACTCGTTCATTCATTCACTCACTCACTCGTTCATTCATTCATTCATTTATTGACTACTCATTCACTGACTTCGTCATTTTTGTTGACGTATGTAGTGCGGAAGTTGATGAGGATGTCGATGATGAACATGACGTCAACGAGCAGGTCCGTCACGGATATAGGATCCTCCCTGTACCTGTCCCACGGACTCTTTATCCCCTTGCTCTGTTGGGACGATGGTGACAACGACGACGATGATAATGGTGATGGTGGTTGTGGTAGCGGTAGTAGTGGCAATGACGAAATCGTTGATGATGACATCACCAAACGATAACAACAACAACAACGACCAACTTTTTCCTTATAAGCCGGATCGTTAAGTAGGAATGCGGCCACGTATGGAATGCAGATGGCGGTGTAAATGACCAGAATTAATATCAACCAGTCCCAGGCGGCTTTGAAGGGAGAATAATGAACTATGGTGCAGCGGTGTCTCGAGGGAGTCTGGAGTTTATATTCGGGCATGACCTCTGCCCCTAAGGACAGCACCTTTGGTGATTTTGGGGCGAAGTTTTTATATTTATACAGGGTGGTCCACAAGTACATTTTTAAAGTTAGTGATAATTGTTACGTTACTTGCTTGATCATAAAGTAGCGTACCCGTATGTGTGTGTGTGTGTGTGTGTGTGTGTGTGTGTGTGTGTGTGTGTGCGTGAGACTGTCTGTCTGTCCAGAAGCAAATTTTTGATAAAATTTATTATAGGGCAAATTGAATGAAATAGAAATGATACGAAAGTAAGAAGCAGAAGTAAATTTTGTTTTAGTGCAAAAGTCGCACGTGTTTCTATATTTCATATTTCCCTGGCTCTATAAATTATTTAGTAGAGGGAAAAGAGGGAACAACCAACCTGGGCAACTTTTTCGCTGACGTTGTGTTTGACACTCTGCATGGGTAGGAATACCCCGCCTCCTCCTCCAACGCCCCCTTGCTTGGTGGACGATATTACACTGTGGAGGTCCCTATCTCCACCCCCGAATCCATTGATAGCCCCGCTCAGTCCGGTCCCAATTTTGCGGAAAGTTAGGAAATCCCCGTTGCTGGTCGGGTGCATCTTAAATCTGGATATCTCGGAGTCACTGGATTGCTGCTGTTGAGTTGTTAGGCGGAAGGATGGCCGGTGGTTGGTCAGTCTAGAAGCTGCATGTGTGTTTATTCGTGTGTGTATGTGAGTTTACGTGCGTGTGTGCGTACATGTCCGTGCGTGCTGTACTGCGTTTTAGCAGTAAATAAAACATCATTTAAATATAAATAGATATATAAATATAAATAAATATATAATAAACAACATAAATAAAGACAACAACACCAACCATCTCAACATCATCAACAACAACACCAACCATCTCCGAGAGCCAATGTAGCATGTTCGCTGGCAGCCGCCCGCCTTAACGACCCTTTGTGTTGTAGGGCTTGTTTCTCCCCAGGCTCAAAACTCCCCTCCACACACGTGTTATTAGTAATGTTGTTACCTATATTGTTTGCGTCGTTTCCGGCTGGTTGCCAGGCCAAAAATTGGCTCTCACTCAAAACAGGCAACTCTAATGCATCAGACTCAGCGATCGGTCTATCCCTAACGTAAACGGCAGACGATAATCTTGGCGGGTGAAGAGAATCGCCGACGAACAGTTGCTGAGGCTGCTGTGGTTGTTGCTGCTGTGGCAGTTGCTGCTGTTGCTGTGGTAGTTGCTGCAGTGGTAGCTGCTGTTTGGAATGTCGATCAACGTGGTTTAGCATCTTTCTGCGGTCGTCATCGCACCCGACCGCTGCAACTACATCTTCGTCTTCATCCTCATCGGCCTGGTTTCTGACGCTTCTATTACTACTATCGCCTCCACCATAATTCCGTACGTCACGTGACTCAAACTCGACGCCATCTTGTACTATGACAAGTGGAGATTTCCGTTTCCGGTGAAATTTCCGAATGCTATTTCCGCCGGAAGTCGACGGAGATGATGACGACCTCGAGATGATGTGACGCACGGCTGGGAGACGGAAACGGAAGAGGCGATTGTGTTGCTGCTGCTGGGCGTATGCTGGTAGTGTTTGTGTGTGTGTATGTGTCTATGTCTGTGTGTGCTATGTTATCGTGTGTGCGTGCGTGCGTGTATGTTTGTTTGTGTGTGTGAGCGTGTGCGTGCGTGTGGTGGTCAATATATATATATATATATATAATAATATGACAACAAAAACACAGCAATGAGCATATGAAAAAAGAAATAAATAAAAATAATATTTTATTACCGCATAATGACCCTTGATAATGCAAGATATAAATCAAACGACGACGAATAACAACCACACACACACACACACACACACACACACACACACACACACACACACACATGCATACACACAAAGAAACACACACAAACACACACACACAAACTAGCATTTGATAGATAATTTATTGGTATCTTTCTTGAGAGGTGCGTCGGTAATGTCCTCGAGATTCAAAATAAACAGAATGACGTCATTGTTCTCATTCCTAACCGGGGCCACCAAGACACTGCACAGAAACTTGCTGCCTAATTTTAGGAAAGATGATGACGACGATGATGACAAAATGATAGTGAGTTAAGTGAGAGAGTTAAAAAATAAGAGAAAGATGATGAACTGACGGTGAGTAAATGAAAGAGAATGAAGATTGCAGTTGAAGAGAGAGAGAAAGAGAAAGAGAGAAAAAAAAGAGAGACAGAAAGAAAGAAAGAGAGAGAGAACAAAAAACAAAATTAAAAAGAAACTCAATCCAATAAGATACTTCAAAGTACAAAACGATATGATACAAAACGAAACGAAACAAGATACGTAAGCATGATAGAATCAAGATACAGATACCTACCATCTTTTTTGTAATACAGAACTTCAACCTGTCTTTCTTCATGCCCATTAAGTGATTCTTTGATGTACCTGGTGATGATGACGATGATGAAAACGATCGTGATGATGATGTTAAAAAAGTTTTATCATTCCATCATAATTTATCCCAAAAATCAGCCAATCAAATCCAACCAATCAGCCAGCTAACCAACCAATCAAGAGCTAGCCAGCCAGCCAACTAATTAATAACCAGCCAGCCAACCAACCAATCAGGAGCCAGCCAACCAACCAATCAGGAGCCAGCTAACCTTATGGCGTGCGATGAGGTCAGAGGGCCGTGCAGAAAATCGCAGGTGCACGGTTTCTGCATAACCTCGGACCGGTTATAGCCGGATAGTTCGGAGAAACCATCGTTGCAGAAAATTATCGGTCGGTTCTCGACCTTGGCGTTCGCTATTATGAAATTCCGATCTGTAGGGGTGATGATAACGATGACTATATTGGTGATGATGACGATTTATTATTGTGATTCTTCTTCTTTTTCTTCTTCTTCTTATTATTATTATATCTTAAAAATGATAAATATAACAAAAAATTACGTATGACATCATTTCTCTTTCTCTCTCTCTTCCTCTCTCTCTCATCATTGTCACTACCATCGTCGTAGATGGTAGTTATGACGTCACTTATGACGTCAAGATGATGCAAATGATGATGATGATGCGTTAACATAGTGTTTCGTCTACGTCAGCCAACCAGTCACAAACGATACATACATACATTCAATCAATGAATGGATGGATTCGCTTTTTTCTTTCCCCCACTATAATTATCTCTCTCTCTCTCTCTCTCTCTCTCTCATCATCATCATCATCACCACAACTATCATCATCATCATCCTCAACGTAATCGTAAAATATAATAATCATCATCATCATACCCACTGTCATCATCGTCATCATCATTGTCAACTTCGACATTTCTCCATGTGTCTATTATCGATTTTTCCGCATCTTGTCATTCCTTTACTTCTTTCCATTTCTTCAATCGTTCATTCATTCTTTCGTTCATTTGTCCATTCATTCATTTGTTTATTTATTCTTTCGTTCATTCATTCGTTCGTTCGTTCAGCTGCATATTCGTTTATTCATTCGTACTTACGTTTATTTTTTAATTCATACTTGTATTGATTAATTAATTAATACATTCATCTGTTCGTTCATTCATTCATTCATTCATTCGTTCATTCGTTCGTTCGTTCGTTTAGATTAAAATAACAAAGAAGATGACGATGATGACGACGTAAATAATTTCATTGGCTCTAAGTGCGGTTAACGATCACGATGATAACGATGATGACGACGACGATGGTAATGTTGAGTAAAAGCAATAATGCCGCCGTTTTTCAATCCAGGTGCTGTGTCATGTGTGACATTAGTTCTCTTTCTTTTTTAATACTTGTTAAACTGTTTCCATGTATGTGTGTATATTCGTGTGTGCGACGTGTGTGTGTGCGCGCGCGCGCGCGCGTGTGTGTGTGTGTGCTTGCCAATTCATTGATCCTATTTTAAATTCACTTTACGCATGAATAAATGATTGATCCATTGATTGAATGAACAAATAAAAGGACGAATGAATGAAAAATAAATAGATGATATAATGAATTAATAACCAATGAACGAACGAACAAATGAACGGACGAACGAACAACTGAGCAAACGAACGTTATCATTGTCATTAAACATATAAATAAATGAACAAATAAGAGAATAAATGATCAAACAAACGAAAGAACAAACAAACGAACGAACAAACAGACGAATGTACGAACGAACAAACAAATGAACGAACGAACAAATAAACGAACGAGTGGATGAATAAAAAATTAAATTCCACTCACTCTGTCCATCGAACTTCCTTATAATGGTATCGATGAAAGTGTTCTGTGGAGCAACATGGCCTCTCCGGATCGGCATGATGATGATGATGATGATGTTATGATGATGATGATGACGTTATGTTGATGATGATGATCTTATGAGAATGATAATGATGAAGAAGAAAGTACGATGATGATGATGATAATTACAACAGCTGAAGTCGATAACAAAAAAGATGATGACGATGATGATGACACAGGCTAGAATTGATTATGATGATGATAATTGATGACTAGAATTGATGATGATGATGATGTTGCCATAGTGAAGATGGTGACATGATCCAGTAGCTGATGAGTCCACCATAATCACATAAACATCATGTATATTTTTATCTTAAAATTCACATACATCATTGTCCTTTAAGTTCATTATCAACTATTGTTGTTTGTTAATATTATTATTATTTATTATGTTATTTATATAAATAATAATTATTATTATTGTCGTTGCTATTCTCTTTTTATATTTAATTAATCATACATTTCAACAAATACAATTAAAGTCAATATTTAACAAATTTCTCATAAGAAAAGTTAGGATGAACACTGATGTGATATGATCTTGCTTGCTTGATGGAAGAATTAATTGTGATTTCAAAACATTTATTTATAGTTTATAATTATAAATTCAAATTAAATATATTATTTATATTTATAATAAAAATAAAATTATGACACAAATAGTTAATAAAGTATATAAAATTATAGATCTTAAAATATAAAATATGAAAATTACCAAATCAACCAGTTTGTATTTTGTTGATTAATTTTTAATTTTAATATTTTAATTTGTTTTTAAAAAGCAAAATTACTAACGCCATGTCAATAACATATTATTGAAATATGAAAAAATATAAATTGATGAAAAAACTGTCATTTTGTCGCCAAATAAGTAATAAATAAATTGAAACTCTCAACGTAATAAATGAATTTTGATGAAAAATATAACACAATATAGATTTAAAATACCAAATTTAAAAGCCCTTTGAAGCGCTTCATTTTATTTTTGTTTAAAATTTTGGTAAATTTTAATTAAATGTTTAAATATAATTGTATTTATAATTTGTTATAGACAAAAAATATAAATTTTTTAATGGAAATACTTCAAATTATTAAAAAAATGACACTAATATTGCAAAATATTAAAGTGAAAAAAATTTTTTACTAATTTAAAAAAATTAAAACTTTTAAACAAATATACTATCTATTCAGACAAACTGATCAACCATTCAATAAAAAACTGTATAGTAATATATAGTTTTTTGAATTTATATATAAATATTATATAATAGTAGCACCCCTACTTTTAGGCGTCAATAAAATCACGTGACTTCATACAGTCAGACATTTTGCATAATTTTAAAATGGCGGCTCCCATACTGAAGTGGAAACGATTAACTAACGCTACTGGACCCTCTCCCAGGCCCCGTCATGGCCATCGTGCCGTAGCCATTAAAGATTTGATGATTATTTTTGGAGGAGGAAATGAAGGAATTGTCGACGAACTTCACGTTTACAATACCGGTTAATGGAAATTATTTTTTTATTGCGGCTTACTATCCAAGATGGCGATCACTATAACGATAAATAATTAAGCGATAATTGCTTTTTTTTATCGAGTTACGTAACTTTTGTTATTTTATGCTTCTTTTTATATTTTGACACTTTTTTATTATGTCCGTGTTTGTAGTTGTTTTGAATCTAATTGGAAGCATTTTATATCACTGTTTATTTAATATTAATTAAGTTGAAAACTTAGCGGGATTTTCAAATTTAATTGCAAACGTAAACGTAACTGAAATAAATATCTTCATGATTTTAATTTGTTAAATTATTCTCTGTACATCAAGCTACAAATCAGTGGTTCATTCCTGCCTTGAAAGGGGAGAATCCCCCAGGGTGTGCAGCCTATGGATTTGTTTGTGATGGATTATCCAAGATACTAATGTTTGGGGGCATGATTGAGTATGGCAAGTATTCAAATGAATTATTCGAACTTAATGCCACAAGATGGGAGTGGAAGAAATTGAAACCAAAACCACCAAGAAATGGTAGTCCCCCTTGTCCTAGATTAGGTAAGTTACTAATTAGTATTACTACTTTTTTAATTTTTATATGTTCATTTAGTTTTGCTTTTTTAAAATTTAATTAAATGTTCTTCCACTTTGTAGGCTCTTTTTTTTTACAAATCATATTTTCAAATAATTATTTCTCACAATCATCTCTAGGACACAGTTTCACACTGGCTGGCAATAAAGTTTTCCTTTTTGGTGGCCTGGCCAATGAAAGTGATGATCCAAAGAATAACATACCAAAATACTTAAATGACCTCTACACACTGGAGATGAAAGTCAGCACAAATACATATGCATGGGAGACTCCATTGGTTGGTGGTGACCTCCCTCCTCCCAGAGAATCCCATACAGCTGTTGCATACTGCGACAAAAATGGATCTAACTATCGCTTGATTGTCTATGGAGGCATGAGTGGGTGTCGATTAGGAGATCTCTGGGTTCTTGATATAGGTAATTTAAATGTAATTTGCATCATTATTTTTAATTGTTTATTGACAATTATTTGTTTGACCATGTATTCATTTGATATTTTTATTCCATCATTCCACAAATCGTTAGGAGCGATGCTCTGGACTAAACCAACTGTTTTCGGTATTCCTCCTCTTCCTAGAAGTTTGCATTCTTCAACGATAATTGGCAACAAGATGTATGTGTTTGGTGGCTGGGTTCCTCTCGTCATGGATGATGTCAAAGTGGCAGCTCATGAGAAAGAATGGAAGTGTACCAACACTCTTGGCTGTCTTAATTTAGGTTGGTCTTTAATTGGTCATTTGGTTGTTTGCACAAGTTATTGATTACTTGGTCTTTCATTTTTTGTCTCACTGGCAAAACAATACACCTGTCTACAGATACGATGAAATGGGAACACTTGACAATGGAGATGGTTGAAGATTCCATGCCGCGAGCTCGTGCTGGGCACTGTGCTGTAGCCACTCACACCAGACTCTACATCTGGAGTGGTAGGGATGGATATAGAAAGGCTTGGAACAATCAGGTCAGTTTGTGTTTCTCTGCATGTATTGATTGGTTGGCTGCTTAGTGTCTAGGTGGGCTTACCATTTGAATGATTATTTTTTTAATGGGTGGATAATACATCAATTTTGATCAATACTCTGTCAATTTTAAAACAGGTTTGCTTTAAAGACCTTTGGTTTCTAGAAACAGAAAAACCTGTTGCCCCAAGTCGCGTTCAACTAGTAAGAGCCAGCACAAACACATTGGAAGTGTGCTGGGGAGCTGTACCTACAGCAGAAGCCTACATATTGCAATTGCAAAAGTACGACATGCCTGTGGCTGCCCCTGTGCCACCTGTCTCTACAGCACCTGTTGCTGCTTCCATTGTTTCCCCAGCTGGTCCTAATCAGCTTACCCCTGCCAAGACACCAACTGGAAATCCTCCACTGTCTCCAATGAAGGCAACTGGTGTGTTCAGGCCGGCTGTTGTCGGTTAGTTTGCATGTTTGTGTGTGTGTATGCACGTGCAACTGAACTTAAATTATCATCAGAAAATGGAATTTCATATGTAGTGTTTAACTTACTTGTAATTAAATTGTAGGTAGTGTTAATCCGACTGCAGTGCGAGCCACTCCCGGCATCTCTCTGCAGATGCAATCGGCTGCTCCTACGTCTGCAATTAGACTTGCCACGCCACAACAAGCAGCTAGCATCAGACAGAAGCAGCTACAACAACAGCAGCAACAACAAGCTACTCCACAGCTCCTTAAAATTGTTGGTGCTCAGCAATCTCAGCAACAACAGCCACAACAACAACAGCAGCAGCAGCAACAAGTTAACACTCCACAGATCATTACACTGGCTACTGGAAGATCTGTTGTTAGTAGTGTTGTGTTTCTCTCTCTCCCTCTCTTTTTCTCTCTCTCTCTCTTTCCTCTTATCATAAATATCTCACACAAAATATGAATAGGGCATCATAGGATCAGCTCCAGCAGTCCCAGGAGGAGCAGGAGGTGTACAGCAGCAGAAGATTGCCTCATCCTCTACAGGAATCAGAGTTTTGACACCTGCCATGTCAGCTGTTACACCATCCCTCAGGATTTCTAGTGCAATGCCAAGGACGCAATGTATGGATTTTTTTATTTTGCTTAGTTTGAGATTTGGTTTTTTTTAGTTTTCTTTTGTTTATCTTTATTTAAAGATTTTTTTTGTGGTGTTCCCTTTAGATTTTTTATATTGTCATAGTCATGATATTTAGTCATCATCTTTATCATCATGTTAACAGTAGCATCACAGTTTGTTGCTGGTGGTCAGACATTGAGAGTTGGTACTGCACAAAATAACTCTACCCTCTTGAAAGGTTTCCGAATGGTTAATTTGTTGATGACTGGTTGATTGATTGATTGATTGGCTGATTTATTATTCATGCCCTTTGTACACTCATCAATCAATCACTGCCACATACACACTCATATGCACAGCAGTACCTAACCAGCAAGGATCTCAGTTGACTCAAGTAGGCAAGCAGATCATAACGGTGAAAGCTGGCGGAGCAGCCACTGCCTCTCCTGCCGTCGTTGGAGCCGCCGGTGCAATTGTTGGAAGTCAGGTGGTGACTGGTGGTGTTGGTGCTGGCATACCCCAATCCCAGCCACAGATTGTCACTCTTGTCAAGACGTCACAAGGAGTGCAGGTTGGATTTATTCTGTTTGCTGTAGCTATTGTTTTGTGATATTTTATCTTTTTTCACTGTTGATTATTTCATTTATTTAAACTTTTGTCTTTTGTCCCTTCGTTCATTTGCTGCTATATATATATATATATATATATATATATATATATATATATATATAATATAGAACTAATATTGTTTTCCCTGTTATATATTTAAACAATTGTGGTATAAAACAGGTTAATTCTGTGAAATTGGTGTTGTTATTACTTAGAATTTGTCATGGTTTGACCATATTAAACATATTTCATGTAAATTATCGAAAAACCTAGGTATTATATATCGATTAAGGTTTAAATTTCCAAGTTTCATCTTATTGACTTTATATAACTCTCTCGTGCTACCTTATTTAACTTATTGTATTTCGGTTTGGGGTTTAGCCCCTAAATCTCATCTTAAAACTTTAACTTTAGTTTAAAATTTTTTTCTTATTAAAAAAAATTGATATACATATGAAAATATATATATATATATATATATATATATATATATATATATCATTGTTATCAGTTGGCTTATATTTATAACATATATCAATTGTACATTATTTATTTGCTTGTTTTTTTTTTAAAAATATATAGGTTAAACTATTGTGCGACTCTCTACAGTCAAGTTAAATTATTTAAAAATCCTAAAAAAAATACTTTGCGCTATAATCCTGATTTTTATCTCTTTAAACCAAGGTCAAATTTTTTCTTAACTCAGTCTTATCTTCTTCTATGCGTTTTTGGGATACTTTACCTGTGTATGTAAAGGACTCACCCTCTCTTGGATTATTCAAAACTGCTATTCACCATCTTATCTGGTCATTTCACACATGATTGACCGTATTTACTCTTTGTATTTATTCATTGTGTTTTACTTTTAAAATAATTAATTAATTATCTCATGTATTTCAGTTCATCTGTATGTTTTCATATGTATATGAGCATTTACTTAAGTATATGCATGTTTCGTTTTTGGCTTTGTTTCGTTACTTTAGTCTTTTTTCATTTTATTTAGAATATCTTGTCTTTAATTGACCTGGGTGGCCCTACAAGTGCGAGCTTCGGGTCTCCTAGTGAATGACATATGTTTTTCGCATGTGTTTGTTTGCTAAATAAAAGGATAATTGAATTGAATATATATATATATATATATATATATGTGTGTGTGTGCGTTTGTGTGTGTATATGTGTGTGTGTGTGTGTGTGTGTGTGTGTGTAAATCCATTCTTATATATATATATATATATATATTTCCATCTATCTCAATTCAGTCTCCAAAAGGAGTACCACCAGGTGCAACCATTCTCAAATTAGTTAGCAACCAAGGAACCCCGGGTGCAAAATCTACCATACTTACTGGATTGCAGCAGGCATCGGGGTCCGTTGTTAACACTAATCTGCAGGTTTGTCTAGGTTTTTTTTCAATGTAGGTGTGGTCTTGGTTCATTTTGTGTGCGTGTATAATGTATCCTTCTAAAAACCTTATCCAACCACAACAGGCCGGCACACCTACCCTGATGAAAAGCCTCCCACAGGGGCTGATAACGATCGGAAAATCAGGGGCCAGTCCTCAAATCCAGGGCGTCGGGAGCAAACAAACAATCGTCATTGCAGCTCCACGACCTTCTCTACCCAACCCAACTGGGGCTAGTAACATGGCAGCCAAGATCATCACGGCAGTCCCAAAATCCGGAAGTGCAGTCGGTGGGGGTAGCCATCAGTATATCGTTGTGGCAACAAGACCAGGGGCTCCACAGGGTACTAACTCTTCTGCCACTAATATAATCAGTTAGTAAATGTTTGGGTTAATGTTTGGGTGTGTGGTGTGGAATACATTTGGTAAATAATTATGTAAAACTGGCAAATGAAATGGTTGTAGTCATAGTAAAGTGATCATATTAGTAAATATAAAAGTAGTAAATCATAGTAGTAAAGTGATAATTCCTAAACCACGCTAGGAATGCAGTCCGGTGGTGCACAACTCTTAGGTACTCCAGCAGGGCTGACAACAAGTGGAAAGCAAATATTCTCTGTTGTTGGACCCGGTATGTTGTTGTTGGTGTTGGGCCTGGTATGCTGCTGATAATAATGTTGATGACGTTGTCGTGTAGTTTTTGCTGTGTTGTCGCCATTGTTTTATTAATTTTGTGTTTGTTATTGTTGCAGTTAAGTATTCAGCTTGTTGCTGCAGTTGTTGTTCATACTGCTTAAATGGTAAAGTTTACCACTTTTGCTTTTGTTTCTTAGCTGGCACACAGCAGTTGATTGTACCAGCAAGTTTGGCAGCTGCAACACAGCAACAGCAGCAGCAGCTAGATATCGGAGAAGGTAACTACTATGAAAACATTAACAATTGCAATCACAAATCTGTTTGATGTCATCTTTTTTGTTCTTGCTCTCAACCAATCATTTTATCAACCAACATGAACATATCTTCTTGACCAATCGCAGGCATGGATTTTAATTTGGACAACTTACATGGTGGCGCAGGTGATGCTGGATTAGGTGATGTAAATATGGACAGATCAGATGACGGAGGATCTTCTGCTCTTCAGGTTTTTATTGCTTATATTTTTTACTTTAGCTAATGATATAAATGAAAATAATGTTCTTGTGCGTGCTACAGGGAGATGGATCTATTCCACAATTTGATGGCACGTGTGACGACGACGATCAGGATGACCACAAGTATGCAGTGGCCAACGAATCCTCACAAATCTGCCAAAGACTCATTCCCCAGTTTGATGGTATGGGTGATGACGATGACGACAACGAAGATGCCGTTGCCAAGGAAACGCCAGAAACCTGTCAAGGAACTGGAGCCAATGACGTTGGAGATGATGCAGTTGCCCACGAGGATCAGCAACAGCAGCAGCTAGATGAAGCAGCTGTTGCAGCTAGTACGGATGATGATGCTCAGCAGCAACGAGGTGGTAGTGGTGGTGAGGTTGGAGCCGCCGATGCTGCAGGAGATGATGGAGGTTTCGCGGAGTCGACGAGAGATGATGAGGAGGATGCTGGAGGCGAGGGAGAAGATGATGCTACAGGCCATGAACAGCATGTAAGTTTTCAACTACTTACTCATCATTACCAGCATGGCGTTTTTTTCAATCTTACGTTTTATTAGTTGGTTGTGTGTTTTACAATTCTTGATTGATTTAATGCTGCAACCAACCAATCAATCACATAGCCAACATAATGGCCAACTGATCTATCAACCACTATCTACAGCAGCAAGGAGATGACACAAATGCACCCGAGAGCATTGGAGACCAGACAGACTCCATAGATAAAAGCATTAAAGACGACGAAGAGGATGATGAAGAAGACAACGATGACGACATGGGTGCAGACGATGATGAGGATGATGAAGCAGCTGCTATGGCTGATGCAGCACCTGGTGGCATAAAAAGCGGAGATGATGACGAAGATCATGGTCTCGGTCTGCATGCTGATGACGCTGTTGAACGTTCACTGCCGGCAGCTTTGGTTGCCCGTACAAAAGCTTTAAAATCTTCACAATCGGATCAGCAGCAACGTAGTTTACTGCAGCCCGAGCAGCGGGCTGATCTACTTGCTACTCTTGCCTCTGCTGCCATCAGTGGCGCCTCGTCGATTAGTGAAGGCCAATCTGTAGACGCTGCCATCGGCGCTTCTGCGGCTGGTGTCTCTGGCTTGGCTGCCAGTGGTAGTGCTAGCGCTGCTACTGCTCTTAAGAGTGCTTCTAGTGCTGTTAAATCGGTTGGTGTTGATGTTGTTGTTGATGCTTACGTTATAAGGAGTGTCTGATGGTGATACGTACATGTGGTAGAACAATTAAACTATTATATTTTTTACACTTTATCCATTTATCCATCATTTAATTCTACCACAGGAAACAGATGATAAATCCTTGATACATCAGCTGCAACAACAGCAGCTGCTGCAACAACAACAGCAACAACAACAGCAACAACAACAAAATGCTGCCAGCAACAACACTAACGGCGGCAGCACTGACACGAAGGTGATGACGCCAACTTCACGGGAAGCTAGTCAGTGGTGCGATGTGGGCATTATTAAGAGTACGTCATTTGTGGTGACATACTACAATCTGACCTCTGATCTCTCAACGGGCAGTGGGGATGTTAGTTCTGAGTTGCTGTCGTTCGAAAATAAAGACGATGATGATGTTGCTGTTGTTGTTCGTAATGTTGTTCGTAATGTTGTTGATGATGAGGGCAATGATGTTCCTACTTCTTAATGATGTTCTTTTTGTTGACGGTTCGTTGAAATAATGAAATAAAAAGTTAACTTGCTTTATATATGTGCTAATGTTTAAATAAGTTCTGAATAATATTCATGATAACAGTTATAAATAATGATAATTATTATTATAATTGTAAAAAAAACTTGTGTAGGATATAGATGTTGTTGGGCTGAATAGCAATAATTCAGGTGCCAAAAGACAGGATCTCTTACCAGGTCTGTGTTTCTTGCTTACTCATATTTGTTATAATGGGAGATTTAGTGGCTATTGTAGTGGCCATTGCTGTTTTTCAGTTTTACAGTAAAGATAATTCTCTTCATCATCCCTTCATTCAAAACTAGGCACAGCCTACAAATTTAGAGTGGCAGCCATAAATTCCTGTGGTAGGGGTCCATTCAGTGAGGTCACAGCATTTAAAACCTGTCTGCCTGGCTTTCCCGGAGCTCCATCGTCTATCAAGATCAGTAAGGTTAGTTGGTTTGTACACTCTGTCTACATTTAAACGTACACAAAAGCACGGGTACACATATTCGCACATACAAAACATGTATACTGTAACATACAAAACAGAGTACAGAAGGCACCCACCTATCGTGGGATCCACCACAGAACACTGCTGGAAACATTCTTGAGTACTCTGTATACCTTGCTGTCAAAAACGAACAATCATCCAACCCTAACGTCACTAAAGTCGCCCAAAATCCTAGCTCAGGCGCCAGCCAGCTGGCGTTTGTTAGAGTATACTGCGGTCCTAATCCTCAGTGTGTTGTGGCAAATTCTAGCTTAGTGACTGCCCACATCGACTATACAACTAAACCGGCTATCATATTCAGGATTGCTGCTCGTAATGAAAAGGGCTATGGCCCAGCTACTCAAGTTCGATGGCTGCAAGGTTCGTTTGTTGGATAAGTGATTGGTTGATTGGTTGAATGTACATGATTTGATTGATTGTGATTGATTGATAAATGCATATAAGTAGGCTATTTATTGATTAACCTTGACCTTCACGTAGATAATTCGAGTGGGGCTTCACCGAAAAACCCAACCAAGAGGATGTCACAGGATATGTAAGTTCTAATAGTTTCCATGGTGATGGTGATTGTGATGATGATAGTGATGATGATGATAGTGATAGTGATGATGACAATAATTATAATGTAGGCTAGCCTGGTAATGGTTGTGATGATGTTGATTATGATGGTGATAAAAATTCTATTGGTTTCGATGATAATAATGATGACGATGATGCTATTGAGCATTGGGATTCGGGTGATGATGAAACTGATTAAAAATGATGGTGACTTTGTGATCACTACTTATTAATTAATTAATTTGTTTATTTCTAGGCCATCTAGTGCTCAAAGCAAAAGAAACAAGCTAGACGTTGATTAACAGATGATGGTGATGATTGTGATGATGGTGATTGTTATGTAAATAATGATGACAGCTAAACTGATGATGATGGTGGTGGTGTTGATAGTATTGATTAAAATAAGGATGATAGTGATGGTGATGATGAAGTGAAGCAACAGAATTTTCTAATTTTTCTCCTTGTATTTTTAATGCCATAAAACCCTGTTTAAAGATTTTCCCTCATGTGTATATACATGAGGGAAAATATATATATGAGTATATAGGAATAATAATAATTAATTAATTAATTATAACAATATTAATTATTATGGATAAATTATGATTCTGAGGACGATACTTAATGAAAATGATGAGTATTCAATTTGATGATAATTACAATGGCACGGAGTACTTAGTTATATAGTTTCTGTTCTGATGCGTGTGTGTGTGTGTCACACAGTACATATTACAGTATATGGACATGTAAATACTACCACTTTGAAACGTTCGGTCATATTACTCCTACCACTTTTACCCCCCTGACAAAAAATAGCAAACAATGTCTTGATAAATTTTATTTCTGTTACTTTGTTTTCAGCTTTTCAACGAAGAAGTGATGAAAAATTACGCTTGTTTTACTGAATAATAAATAGAGGAACAATCTCATTCAATATCTTCGTCAAATTTGTAGGAATTAAACTATGGTACAGTAATATACTTATATGTGCAAACAATAAAATAGAGGAACAATCCCATTCGATATCTTCGTCAGCCAGATTTGTAGTATAGGAATTAAACTATGGTATAGTATACTTATACTTGTGCAAACAATCTCACTCTGTCCCCGTCAGATTTATAGTATAGGAATTCAATTTATTCAGCAACAAAGCATGGAGACACAGAAGCTCAAATGAGCTTGTACGGCCACCCAACCCAAACTATGGACTACGGTATAGTAATATATTTTTACGTGTGCAAACAACGATGACGACGATAATGACGCAGTGAAGCTGTTGAGAACAAGACAAGAATAAAAGAACGCGCGCTACATAAATGTTTTTTTCTGTTTTTTGTTTTACTATCTTCTGTTTTGCTCACTTCATATCCGTCTGCTAATTCCACTTCCTGATTGAAATTACCACTTACACGTCTCCAATGACCCGGAATCTAAAAAAGAAAAATATATTTGCTCCCTTTTTCTTCTCTCTCTCTCTCCCTCCTCTCTCTCTCTATCTCTCTCTAACTTTCCCTTTTCTCTTTATATATTTGATATATATATGTATGTATATATGTATATATATATATATATATATATATATATACACATAAATGAATAATTTTCCCAACCTTCTCTCTCTCCCTCCCTCTATCCTATCTTTAGCTTTTCATTCTACTTTAGCTATCTCTGATCTGTTATCTATACATCTTTTATTATGTTCTTCATCTACTATCTTCATCTCAATCCATCTACTCTATCGAACTATCAATTCGTACAATCCATGTACACGCGCATTCTTTATAAACACAGTACCTATTACTAGTAGTATTATTATAATGAAGAGTTGAAAATACATGCGTAATTGAATGTGGCGAAGAAGAAAGAATGAAATGATAGATTGATAGAATGAATGATTGATGGACGGACGGTCGCATGCGAAAGTATGCGTGTGTTTATTTGTATGTATGTTTGTATGCATGTGTGAATGTATGTTTGTGTGTGTGCGTGCGTGTTTCTGTACTTTTCAAAAATACTGTTCCTTCTGCAGCAATAAAAACAACAACTACTGCTGCTGCTACTACTACTACTACTACTACTACTACTCTACTACTACTACTAGTAGTAGTACTACTACTACTACTTCTACTACTACTAAAACAGCAAATTGCATTATGTTATCACTACTGCCATTTTTTGCGTTACTGGGTTCAAAATGTTCAGAATGCGACGTTTTGATGATGTGTATGTGTGTGTGTGTGCGTGTGTATATTTGTGTGTGTATATGCATGTGTGTGTATGCATGTGTGTACGTATGTGTGCATGCATTAATATGTAATAAGTATCAGATGTATTTCGTGCAAAAAATTTAAAAAAAAAAATCGTCATCGTAAGACGAAGGGAGTTTTTTTGCAGTTGTTGTGTGTATTTGTGTAAGTATGTATGTGTGTATGTTTGTGTGTATGTATGTATGTATGTATGTATGTATTTATGTATGTATGTATGGATGTATGTATGTATGTATGTTTGTGTGTATGTATGTATGTATGTGCGTATGTATGTATGTTTGTGTATGTGCGTATGTTTGTGTGTGTATGTATGTATGTATGTATGTGTAGTGATGACAAATTATCCTATATGTCCCTAATTAAATTTCCACGTCCGCTAAAATTGCTCTGAATTGGTTTGTTGTTATTATTATTATTCTTGCTTTCTCCATCTACTACCATCTTTATTTTTATTATTATTTTCATTGGCAGTATCACTAGTAGTAGCAGCAGCAACAGTAGCAGCAGGAGTAGTACTTGTAGTTATGTATATATGTATATATATTCGCAAATCTAGACAACTTTGTTTACATTTTAGGAGTTTAAAATTTTTACCTAATAGATCCGCTACTGTATTAAATAATATATATATTATATATATATATGTGTGTGTGTGTGTATGTATGTGTGTTTGTTTGTCTGTGTTTGTGTGTCTGTGTTATACAGACACACTTAAGAAATCCATTGTTGACCGCCTATGTCTTCTGCCGCTCACCTGATTTATGATACGTCACCCACACACACGCGCACACACACACACACACACACACACACACATATATATATATATATATATATACAGATATATACATATATAAAGATATATATATATACGTTGAAAAAATATATATTAGTATCTTCTAGGCGTAGTAAATTAGTAATTTTTTTACAAAAATATGTAGTAATAATACTCAATAATAATAATAATAATAATAATAATAATAATAATAATAATAAGGAGAAGAAGAAGAAGAAGGATATTAATAATATATGTTTGTCGGTTTAAATGCAATTAAGTCAGTGATAAATATGAAATAATAATAATAATAAACACAATACTACTATTACAATTACTACTACTACTACTACTACTACTACTATTACTACTACTACTGCTACCATTACTACTACTACAAAACTACTACTACTACTACTGCTACCATTGCTACAAAACTACTACTACTAATAATAATAATATAATAATAATAATAATAAGAATACCAAATAATCACGGAAACGAAGTTGGTATACGACTAGCAAATGTTATAATGATATTTCTTGTATTCGTATTCCTTGCCCCGAGTGTCGTAATCGTTGGCGGAATTAATAACAACAATTATTATGACGACGAGTCAACTGGATTTCGAAATAATTTAGGTTAATATATTTTTTTTATTATTATTTTTTAATTTTTTAATTATTTAACTATTGTATCGATTCGCCCCTTCACTATTTGTTCATTCACCCATCATCCATCCATCTATCCATTCATTCATCCATCCATTTATCCGTCAATCCATCTACCAATCCAATCAACCAACTATCCATCCATCCATCTATCTTTCGGTAATAATAATGATGATTCAGTTTACAAAATGAAATAAATTTCCTCAAAAAAATTTACTTTATTTTCGTTTTTTATAAATGCCTTATCTCGCCATTTTTTTCTATTGCTTTCTCTCTGTCTGTCTGTCTGTATGTTTCTCTCTTTTTCTTTCTTTCTCTCTCTCTCACTTTCTTTCTCTCTCTCTTTACATGTGTAAATTTGACGTTTTTAAAGTTAGAATACTTAAATAGGCAACAAACAGAGAGTTAAACATTTAAGTCGCCATGACGTAAGTTAAGCTGGCCGCTAAGTGAATGTGTCATTTGTGGTAGTAGTAGTAGGAGCAGTAGTGGTGGTAGTAATAGCAGTAGTAGTAGTAGTAGCAGTAGTAGTAGTAGTAGTAAAAGTAGTGGTATTAGTAGTTGTTTTTTTGTAGTAATTGTAGTAGAAAGAAATATCAATAATTTTTTGTTTTTTAGTTACAATAAAATATGTCTTTTTTATTATTATTATTATTATACACATACGTGCATACACTTACACACGTACACACACATACATGCATACACACATAAACTCACACATACACACACATACATACATACACATATATACACTTAAGTATAACAATATTTGTGTATAAAATATACATAAATGTCAACAGATTTGCATCCTCTAGTTTACATAACACTTTACTTTTTGGATAAACATACATATATAGAAACACATACACAGATATAAATCCACACGCACGTACACATACACACACAAACACATACACACATAGTACATATAAACACGCACATATATATGCAAACACACATGCACTTTTATCACATACACACGTAGAAAAATGTTTGTGAATGTGTTTGTACATGTAGAAATGTAATTATTTTTATTATTATTATATCTTCCTATTATTATTATAAATTATTTTTATTATTATTATTATATTTATTATTATTATTGTTGTTGTTGTTATTGGAAAACCATTGAAAATTAAGTGCGGTTATCTTTTAAGTATTGTGTGTGTGTGTGTGTGTGTGTGTGTCTGTAGTATGTGTGTGTGTGTGTGCGTGTGCGTAGATTATTGTTTTATTTTTTTTATATACAGCCAGAGATGGAAAGAGATTCGCGGCGATGAACAACTTGTTTGACAAAGGTTTGATCGTAATAATAACAATGATAAAAATAATAATAATAAATAATAATAATAATAAATAATAATAATAGTAAGTAATAATAATCAGTACTCGGTCTAGAGCCCAAACTGGACAGTGCTTTCTCCAATGTGACGGTCATCATTGGCCAGACGGCTCTCCTGCTGTGTTCAATAGAAAACCTCGGAAAGTATAAGGTGAATGGATGAATGAATGGATAAATGAATGAATGGATGGATGGATGTGAATGGATAGATAAATGAACGAATGAATAAATGAGTAAATTAATTAATTAAAAAAAATGACTGAACGATTGTAAAGGTAGCATGGTTAGACTCGAATTCCATAACGCTGACTTACGAGGAGAGGAGGATCGTGGACGATTCAAGGTTCTAATAACATCATCATCATCACCACCGCCAACACGAACATCATCATTATCACCACCACCACGAACATCGTCATCATCACCATCACCACGGTCATCATCATCATCATCACCACCACCTTTATCATCAACAACAACAACAGCATCTTCATCGTCATCATCACCACTATCATCATCAACAACAGCATCATCATCATCTCTACAATCATCATCAGCATCATCATTCTCATTTCTCGCCGTAATAACTCCCCCCCCCAAAAAAAACCAGATTTGCCATTGAGAGGCCCAACGTTGAAAACTGGCATCTTCAAGTCAGAGAGGTGAGAATGTCAGACGCCGGCCAATACAGGTGCACCGTTAATACGTACTTAGTTAAGAGGAAAGTCGTTCATTTATTTGTTAATGGTTGGTGCGTTTTCGTGTGTGTGCGTGTGTAATGTGTGTGTGTGCGTGTGTGTGTGTGTGTGTGTGTGTGTGTGTGTGTGTGTGTGAGTGTCTCTACTTTCTTTCTCTCTCATTATTTATTGCACACCTATGCTTTTTATAAAAGAAGTTTAATTGATAATTCGTTCTATATTATAACTTTTAATTTACATATTTTCTATTTTTGACAGGAGGTTCAATCTAAAAATACATACATACAATTCATCTTCTCGCTCAATCAACCATCAATTTTTTTGTTTTTCATTCATTTATTAAATTTATTCATTCTTTCGTTCGTTTGTTCATTCGTTAATCCATTTGGTCGTTCCTACATCCATCACATCCATCAATTTATCCATCCAGCTGTTCGTTTATTCATTCGCCTGCCATCCATACTTCAATCCCTCACTCATATATTCATTAATTTATTCATCCATTATTAACTCATTTATTCACTTTTTCATTCATTAAGTCCCGCCCACAATTTTGGGCCCCTCTCCCAGCAAAGAAATCATCGTAGTCCACGAGGGGGCCAACTTAACGATCGCATGCAACGCCACCGGAAGTCCACAGCCGGAAATCACGTGGTCGCGTAGGTCCCTACTACTACCAGAAGTTAATAATGATGACGTCATAGGTGGAGGGTTGGCGGCGGATCAGGAGGAGGAAGAGAGGTGCGCGGGTCTGGGTGAGTTTGGATTCCTCGGCCATTTGTTTCTAACTGTTACTTAATTAAATTTAACTGAATGAATGTAGATGAACATATACATCGATGAGTGAATGAGAGAATGAAGGAGTGAATGAATGAGTAAATGAGTGAATAAATGAATGAGTGAATGAACGAACGAAGAAACGATCGAATGATTTAATGGTTCTATGGATGAAGATGGATAAAAATGGATGAATGAATAGAAAGTCAGGCAAACCAATTAATGAATGAACTGCCCTGACGGTTTAGGGGGGATCCAGTTGATCCGTAGAGTTACACGCCATTGTTCCGGAATATACACGTGCACGGCAAGCAATGGCGTGGGACGACCGGCTGTCAAGTACTTCAGGATCTTTGTGGCTTGTAAGGGAATGACGATGAAGATGATGATGAAAATAGTTGTGATAATGATCATAATTATCGTGTTGATGATGATGACGATAATGGTTTTTTGTAATGGATGATGATGGTTTTAGTTATCTTAATCATCATCATTACCCTCGTTGTCATCGCCAACATCACAACGTTATTATCATTCTTATCTCTATCACAATCATCATCATCACCGCCAACATCATCATCATCGTCACCAGTTCCTCCAAAGGTGAAGGTCGTCAATAGAAAGATCAGCCAATCAAGAGGCAGGGAGACAATATTGGAGTGCAGGGTTTTCGCCTACCCACAAGTCTGATTGGCTTAATTTTTTGTTGTTGAAATAGTTCATTTTGTGTTTTTTTTGAGATTTAGTTAAGAAATGTCTGAGTGAATTGTATTGATCCTAGATTAAATTTTGTAATTGCTGATTAATTGGTCAGCTAACCAACTAATTAATCACTCTCACAGCACCAAAGTGCACAGATACGTACACACACACGCACACACACACGCAAACAAACACCTACACACACGCACACAAACAAACACACGCACACAAACATGTACACAATTTCTCATTCAAGGCAACTGCAGTTTGGGAGAAGAATGGCGAAACGATCTCGAACACGAGGATGCGAAGCGTCGAACTTTATTACGGGAGCTCGGAGACCATTTCGTCCCTGAAATTCCCCGAGAACCTTGGACAAGAAAATTCAGCGTTTGAATCCAACTATCCGGATATGGACGCGGGACCGAATTTGTCCGCCACGGGACCGAATTCACTCCCACTGGATTCGAAACTGTCCACAACGTATTACGTAACGTTGAGTTTAAGGATTATGATCATTGGAGAGAATGATTACGGATTGTATACTTGCTCGGCTAAGAACCAGTTGGGACAGGATGCCGATACTACACTCTTATATGGTTGGGTCAGGGTTGGGGCTCGTTCGTTCATTCATTCATTTACTCATTCATTTATTCATTCATTCGTTCATTCAATCAATGAATCATTTATATTTTTTCATTTATTTTCGAACTAGAAATGAAAAAGAAATATTCGCCATCATCATCATCTTCGCCATCATCGTCATCACTATCTCTAAAATTAACG